TATTAAATTATTTTCCACTAATAGTCAGATCAGAAAATACATTATATATACATATTTTAACTTTCTACGATCTCTAAGTTAATCAATAATTAATATTTAATTTTATTATTATGCTTTAAAAAAATTATCATTCGACACTTTTCTAGCTTTGTCAGATTCACAGTCATCATATTACGTATATTCGTATACGTATTATTTTGTTTATTTTATTATTACTGGGATTTTTAAAAACAAATAATATTTATATACTCACTAATTGATATTAGTCAGAAATGTTTTGGACCAATGCACGCTGTGATCAAATACTGGGATTTTCTGAAAGAGTTTTTTACTTGGAACAAATGTGGTTTGATTTAAGTCATAGTTAATAATAACTTGATTAAATAAACCGATCGATTTAATATTATAATTTAAATGTATCAAATTCTAATATAAGTCTTAAATAATATTATATAATCATAAACTAAGATTTATTATTTCCTTTCAATACTTCAACCAATCAATTCTAATTAAAAAGTTTTCGGAGAAAAACATTTATTTTGATACGTAATTTAAGAGTATATTTTTATTGGGATTTCTGCATGTCACGACAAAATATTCAAATATATCTCATTCAATTGCCACAAAAATAAATTTTGAAAAACAAAGTATCTTATGATGATATGAATTCATTGAATACATAAATACATGAATGTATTTTACCATAAAGTAATAGAAGTTTTAATTCAAACCGATAATATTAAATAAATGTAAATTAATTTTATTTTACAATAATTTTTTTTACTATTTTTTTTTATATTGATTAATATATTTTCTTCAACTTCAATCCAAGATTTAGAACTTTATAATCTTGGTCATTGTAGTCGCCAATTAAGTAATAACAATTCTTGTAGTTCAAGGTAAATTATTACAAAACAGACATACCTGTAGAAAGTTGAACATCAATCAACGACCGGTTATTGCACCAGAAACATGCTTATCATTATAATTTAAATCTTTATATATATATATTTAAAGAAATAAAAATATGAATTACCGAAAGACTGAGGGTTCCTCATCTCAATTGTAACCGTTGTAATTACTATTACAATTTACTATGTACAAGGTAGACAACCTGTTTGTAATTTATGGTATGTAAATAGCAAATTGTTTTTTTCTAATTGAGACTTTTTAATATATCATGTGTTGCAATTATGACTTTATGACATATTGACACATGTTTATCATAATTAATTTAAAGTTTTTTCCACGTATCTGCATCACATCATCAAGAAATATATCAATAATAGATACATTTTAATTCTATTTATTTATTTATGACTACGCAATCGTAACTTAATGTCATTTAAATCAATTACTAATATTAATTGATCTAGATAAGTGAATTGATTTATATTAATTAAAATAATTTTAAACGTTGTGTTGTAATAAACATATCCGGTTGCATTAATGAGTATTTTTATAAATTATATTGTAAGTAAATCTTTTAATTAGTTACAATTCATATCTGATTTGTCTCGTACTTTAGTAATAGATGAAAAACTTAAAACCGTTTGTCAAATACAAGTTCAATGTAATAAAAATAATTTTTAAAATATATAGGTAGATACAATCAAATATCAAGCATGCAATTTCAAACTAGTGGGATGCATGGCATTGTGCCTTAAGGCAAATTGCTCGAACTTCCCGTACCGCAATTAAAAATCTTAGTACGGAACCCAAAAAATCTCTATAAAATATCTGTTAATTTTTTTTATTCTCTTTATTGAATTACAATCTGTCTTTACAAAAAGGAAGACATTCAGTAATTTTGATGATATATGAAATATTAAACATTAGATTTAAAAGGTTACCCAGTAGTAAGCCTTTTTAATTTTGATATATTGAATTTAAATATTGTGATCATATAGAGTAAACTTAAAAATAAAATGATTTATGAGGTGAATGAGTATAAATTGTGAATTATAACAACAAATAACAAAGACAATATCTGTTAATTTGATGTACATATGTCCAATAAATATTTTTGACCGCCAAATGACATTTTTTTTTAACTTATTTTTATTGAGAGTCCATAACCGCTAGACCTGCCTTCCCAAATATTAAATTAGTTATTCATCTTGTCAATACAAGTAAAATGTTTTTTGAATTATTAAAATCGGACGCTCTGTTCTCTTAAAAACTGAGTTACGATTTTTGGCACTTTTTGCCCTGTATCTTCAGAACGATTAGACCTGCCTTCCCCAAAAACTACTCAGCACGTCTCCTTATCAATACGCATCGAATGTTTTTCTGAATTGTTCAAATCGGTTGATCAGTGTTCCCGAAATCGACGGGATTTTGTATCCGCATACACACACACATACACACATACACACATACACACACATACGTCCATTTTTTCTTACCCTACGGGAAATTAAAAAGAAGTCAATACATGCACTAAGATTTTAACTAAAATTATTAACCGTGTTATTTTTTTAACAGCAATTATATATTATATGAGGCAACTCATCGGTTAACCCTTCTTCGACGATTGCATCAGATTATATTTAATAAATGTCCTCAAAGGGCATCACTCGATTTTCGCTGATTATATTTGGGATCTAAAACCTTAAGTGGAAAATGGATATCATGCTGCTTGATATCGAGCTAACCGTGGTTGAGATTGCAACCGGGACTAGATTGTGCTAACCCCCTTAATTTCTTACGCCACGGCGGGCTCAGTAGCCGTGTTAAACAATACATTTGGATTTTTTAAAATGTTTCTTTTTTAATGTATAACCTTACGTAATTCTATTTTTGCATTTAATAATAATAATAACTTTAATAATTTATAATAATATATTTATCGCCTTACCAAATTGATCTTACTGTTCCAATCTATCTTTATCCGCGCCATGTTTGTCATAGTAATAAAATTTATTACATGACACTGGAAGTATGATTACATTGTTATATATGTTTCATATGTGTAATTGCATTTGATAATATTTTTTCCCAAACTGCAAGTCTAATTCATATGCACATGTTCTGATATAATTAATAAATCACATATGGTCCACCCATTTATGAGATCAGACTTATTTTAAATTGTCCTCATGACTTTACCACAAATACTAGATTTCATGTCTGATTTATTAGAAATTTATGATCGATTTATTATTTCTGTTCTTCCATAGGAAATATATCTATGTTTGGTATTGTCAGGTTGTAACTTATGTAATAAGACAGGGAATGTCAAAGTTTGGTACTATGTATTGATATCAGAAAGTTAGACGTTATGATGAGCTTCGTATTATAGCCAAATTTAAACTTACATAAGTCATAAAAATCCATTATAGTAATATATTTTATAAGTGAAATTCTGATATTATTTACTTTATTACCTACATTAACTTCCTGATATCTGAATTTAACCGGGAAGATCTTCAAATAATGAATTGTTTTGATTTTTTTAAATTTTAGCAAGAAATAATTAATACAACTCTAACAAATAACATCTTTCAATTAAGTTTTAATTTTTTTTATTAGCATTGAGATTTTTCGAGAATCAAATTAGGATACAACTTTTACCAATAAAATTCAGCACCGGTTATCTCTTCGACCAGATTTTGCTTGCTGCACAATTATAAGTTATAAATAATTGACTCAATGAAAAAATTAATATGAAATACAGTGGTTAGGACATACTAATAAGAAACTTTACTTAGCAATTTATTTGGAGGTCTTATATTATAATTCCTAAAAGTTTTAGTGCCTCTAAAAATATACGAAATTTGTTGGCTCTAAAAACCAGTTTTGTCCAATTTCATCTATTTATCATAGTTGAAGTAAGGATTCAATATATCAATAATACAATTATAGTATAATATAATTTATAAGAAAATAAACTAATAGTTTATTTAACCGTCAACATTTTGTATTGGTGGTAGTATGCTAAATGAATGTAAGGATATTTCTCAAGCAGAGGTCTCAAAGATTTAAATTTGGTATGTAATAAATAATAGTGTTCATTGTATTTTTAAGAAGATAATGTTCAGTAAAAATGTAACAAAATTATGTAGTTATTAAGAAATTTTAGTACGTGCAAAATATTCATTTTTGTACAATCTAATTGCACGTTTTCAGATAAAATTTCATAAAACATCCCAAAGTCACGTTTGGAAATTCTCAATCCTATTTTTTTCTAATTTTTTGCTCAAATGCGTGACGGAATTAAAACAAAAATGTTTTATCCATATAAAACTTTAATCTCAATCTCATTTGTTCTCGTACACATAACAATTACATAATCAAATATTTTAAATACATTTGTCTTAGAATTATACTAAAATATATAATACATAATTGATGAACACATTCACAACGCTCGTCCATGCCTTTTTCCTATATGTATAAAAAGTTACAATATAATTTTTATTAATAGTTATAATATAAAATATAAGTATCATTACAGTTATAACAATTTTTATATAATCTATACATATGCGACATTTAAAAATCGCTTATATAAATGCTAACTAAAATTTTTGCATTCTTCTATTAATAAAGACGCTGTAAAATTCGAATAAATAATACATAAATCTTATAGTTACGTGATTGTGGTATTGACACAGAAAATAAGTTAAATTAAGTTTTATTCTTCATTTGTGGAATCTACGGTCGATCAATGTTTTTAATTTAAGACATATAATTTTATTTTTCTATCAAATTGGCACTTTATTATTGTCATTAATAATTATTTATCATCTGTATTAATTTCGATAAAAATCTAACGCAATAATATTAATATTTATTAACAAAAACGTGACCAACCGTAAAGACACGCAATTGTTGTCAGTAGAATCAAGCAGATATTTTGCAAATAAAATCTGTTCGATTCTAACAAGACGAAAAAAAAAACAATTAAAACATTCATTAACATATAATATCGTCATGTAATTTAAAACTATACACTGAGTTAAAATTATATCTAATCATCAAACGATTTACATGCATTGTAAAATTAATTATTGACTTGAAATGTCATTTTATTTGTTTCATTTAATTTGACCAGAAATACATTTAATTTGAATGATGCGACGTGTATTTCACTGACCTTCGCTGTCACTATCGCTTTTATCTGAAATAAATAAAAATAATAAACTTAATTATAATAAATCATCTGTGTTAAGAAGTATCTAATTAACCCTTTCGCTACGGCAGAATTTTCTGGAGAAATGACACTGCTGTACGGTATACTCGCCGCCCAGTAGCGCTTAGCAGGCACAACATATTTCAAGATTTTTTGAACATTATCAATGAAAATTTATTTGAAAATTGTAAATTGCGCTTCTAAAGAACTAAAAATTACAATAACATATAAAAATTCTCAATTATTTAACTCATTATCAGAGTGATATGTCTTGAAAGGTCGACACACTAGATGTCGTCTAAAGGCGACACCCGTATACACAGGTCGGCACGAGAATGCAAAAGTGTGAGTGTCGACAATAGACGACATGAGTCTATAATGTGGGTGTCGCCTATAGGCGACGCTAGTAGCGAAAGGGTTGAATTATATATTTGAGCCATTATTTGATATCGAATATTACGATATTATATTGGCATAGATAGGGAATTGAACACAACTTAATATTGTCCATTGATCACAAATAAAATTGAATATGAGAATATTAATATATTATATTACTACAAAAATAAATTACTTTAAAGTTTGATTTGGGTACTTTTTACGAGAAAACATTTAGAATTGTGGTTACATATTTTTTCATTATTAATTATATTCTATATATGCAAGAATTGTTTGGTTCCATTAACATATGCGGAATACTTGATATTTTTTGGATAAAAAATATTATAATATATAATGTCACGTAAAATATATACATTTAAAAAAGTTGGCTTGAAAATTTGAATCTTTGCAATATTGAGATGATTATAATTAAAATATTATTCTTTCAAATAACCACATCCATCAATTTAGAATTAGCCTTTGCGTTTGCGAGAAGAAAATGCCTTAAAAATTATTTACAAAAAATATATTATTAAGTTGTTTTATATCACACATTTAAAACAACGTGACTTTTTATTTTTTATATGTACATATGTAATGATAAAATATTTTTATTTCAATTTCCGTAGAAGGAATTGTATGTTGTAGGTTTATTTATTAGTTTATAAGCGGATAAATTATGAATACTATACCAATATGATCCTGTATGAATAAAATATTAATACTTACATACTATTATTAGTGTGAGTGTAATATACACTTTCAAATTTTATACCAAACATAAATTTACTACTATACGGAGTTAAAAACCTCCGGAAGATCGTCGATTTATATATAAAGGTGCTTTTTAAGATGAGGTGTTTTTTTTTATAAATCATCATGGAAGTATTTTCACATTGAATTTACTTTTAAACATTTAATTATTGTATTATATTATTTTATCAATTTGAAACAAAATTAATATCAAAATTGAATTTACAGAAAGTGCATACAAAATGTAAATGTTGTATTAGTATATATTTATAAATCCTTCTCCAAAATTAAACCAACGGTCTTACGATCGCACAAGTCCAATCAAATGTGATAAGATGCTAGTAATAATAATTTATATTTAATTATAATTTTTGAAAATTAGCAGTAGCTAAATTATTTCATTGTTTTCATAGATAAGATTAATGTGCTATATCACTGCTTCGTCAATCATACGTCAAATACAATGTTTTATATATATTATAAACACTTGAAACTTAAGAGATATTTATTAATTATTTTTGAGAATACAGTGGAATATTTGGTCGAACTGGTTTGAATGAATAGAATACATCTGATACAGAAAAGAAAAACAGTTTTTCTTCTTTAACTTCTGTTTTGATCACTTCAGGTTTCTGATTACGCATCTAGTTTCATAAGAAGTAGTTAGTATCATCAGCATAGTTTCAAAATATTCATTGTATACTTTACTGCATCAATGATATAAGAATAAAATAACATGAACAGAGAAGAATTTAGTTTCAATTATGTTATATTGTAATTCCTTTTAAAAGTACTAGCAATTTGTTAGATTATTCCGTACCAAAAATTTTGTAGTCAACCGTAAGACCGCGGATAAGAAAGCTTTTCACCCGTTTTATAGTTAAAATTAAAAGCAAAATACACCCATCAAAAGTACCTACGATCGTCCGGGGCAGTGCTTTAATTGTACGAAGTTGGAGTGTCTAAGTCACCTTTTTTTCCTGTATAAGCGTGTCTCTTCAGTCTGTCGTATAAATCATCCTTTGTCCCATATATGCTAGCATTTGATCTGAAAGGTAAAATTAATTATGGAACAATTGGATTTTGATGATAAAATATTGTTTAATCATCGTGAATCATTCAATTTGTTCAAATTTCCAATAACGATGATAACACTTTGTTTTATGCTTACATCGTCAAAAATTCGAAAACATTTTAATAGTTTTTTTTTGTTCATTTTTGAAAAGCACATAATAGGTATTTTTTTAAAGTAATCGGAACTACGTGTTCTTTGAGTAAATATGTTTCACTAACTTCTATATACCTAACAATAAAGAAAATTATTAAAATTATGTCTTTGAATAAACTAGTCTAATATAAATCATGGGCTAAAATACATGAAATTAGTAAATTTCTAATTTCCAAGCTAGAAAAAACGCATAGACAATATCATCTTTCTAATTACCTTCAAATTGAAATAAAATAGAATGGCATAAATTGGTGGTCAAATAGAAATATATAATTTTGAATAGATTTTAGTAGTAAATAATATAAGTATATACTAGTAATAAATAAGTTTTTGTAATTATCAAGGAATAAATTTTTATATTTTTTCAATTTATTCAAAAATTGGTCGCTTGTTACGTATTCAAATATATAAACGCGTAATCGCTACACCATTTTTTATCTGCTGCAGTGTAACGCTATAATAAAAGTTTACTAATATTTTTTTTGATTTTTCTAAGCAACAATTTGTTATCACTTCTAACAATTCAACCCATTTTGCTACAAGAGTGTTTCTTTAGGAATGACTCTGCTGTACGAGTCAGTAAACCGCCCAAGTATATCTTGCACAAAATATTTTCCGATTCTCCAATCACTATCGACAGAAATTTATTTAAACTTTAAAAATTACTCTTCTCAAAAACTAAAAATTACAATAACAAATTAGAATTCCCAATATTTTAAATCAGAGTGATAAATATTCAAGCAAAATTTGTCACGCTGCATGTCGTCTATAAGAGACATTCTTACTCACAGGTAGTCATTTGAATGTCGCCTATCGACGACGCTTGCAGTAAAAGGGTTGAATATTAAATAAATTTAAAATTTGAAAAAAAATATACTAAAAATATATAAATTAAGAAAAAATAATGTCATAGTCATAATGACCGACATGGAAATTATGGTGAATGAGAGGAGTGTGTGAATTATCAAATATAATACTTCACATTAATCATTTATACCAATAAAACCAGATAAAACTTATAATTTATAATATATCAAACTTGATTATTATTATAAATGGAACATACTCGTAAAATTAATTTTATTTTGCAACGTAATCCTGATGAGTTATTTGAACTAACAATGAGTTCAAATTATATGAAGTGGCACTAAAATAATTTAATAATTATTTCAATTGCACAATTATATCATTTAAATATTTGCGCAGAGTCACCATTGATAAGAATCGTTTCATGCAAAATGTTTGAATGCAACGATATCAAAATGTGCGTTCTAAGTGCTTGTTCACAGGGATTGTAAAGTCAATTTTGATAAGAAAAGATTTAGAATCTCTTTAACCTCCAAAACACATTATTCTAATTATAGATAATAATCGAGTATTTACAGGTAAAAATGAATAAAGAGCAATAAAACAATTATAAAATACTAATAATAAACGATCAGAGACGGCTTGCAATATAGGCGAAGAGCTGGTGCAAGACTATACAATATTAATTTGAATTTAAAATACAGTTTTTGATAGAAACTTTTAAAATTAAAATTTGATGTATTCGAAAACAAAAAAAATATTGAGTAAAATATAAATTAGCCCACGATTACAAATAAGTATTCCCTAAAATAATTTGATGTATTCAAAAACATAAAAAATATTGAGTAAAATATAATTTAGCCCACGATTACAAGTAAGTATTCCCTAAAATAATTTAAAATCATATGGTAAAGCGTTTTTCTTTTCAAAATTATACAAATCAAATCCAAATAAGTAGGATTTTCTTATTCTATGCAACTCTCAAAATGTAATTCTACAATTTTTCAAATGTTTAATCGACAGAATTGAATGCATTGCGCTAGTTTTAGTCTGCAATTACTTATCTAACTAATTCTTCTCTCAAAAAAAAAAAAATAGTATCTTACAAAATTTGTACAAAAATATTTTTGTTTTACGCAACGATGATAAATAACTCCAATTTTTGGTATTTTTTCAAAGTGTTTCGATGTCAATTTCATGTGTATTAATAAGTTGATTGGTGAAAGAGAAATTATTGTTTAGTATATTGATTAATATTTAATTAAGTTATGCAATTATAATGCATGTTTAATAGCAATAGCATATTATTAATAGCTATCGGCTTACGCCATGTATTATTTTATTTGCTGATCCCACCTTAGTTTTTTGTAGCAAATCAGAATAAATCCTCATTCAAAATGTTATCGAATTGTATATTAATAGTTAGTTAGTTACCTGGCCAGACTGTTCATCTTTCCGTTCATTCCATTATGAAGACCGTCTTTCATATAAGTTTCGTTATAGAAGTTCGGCATTTCCCAACCATCTTCTTCGTCATCGTAGTAATGGGCATAAGTCGAATGGTGAGATGGGGCGATCGATTCGGCGTAGGGCGTGTGGGCTCCATAGTAGAAGTTGACTTGGGATCCGTTCTGATCGGTGGCAGGGCTTAACATCTTCTTTGGTTCCTTTTTGCGAGAAGATCTGAAGAGGTAAAAAAAAATAGATAAGTTGCTAAATTAATAGTTAAACAAATTGGTTTCTTCTTGCGAGAAGACATGAAGAAGTAAAAAGAAAAAAGACTTGGGTATGCACCAGCTGAAGAACATGTAAATTAGTATACCTTGCGCAAATCATCCAAACGAGCAGGACGATCAAGATGACGAATATAACGGCACCAGCGACTCCTCCAGCAATGTAAGCAAACTCAGATTTCTCCGTGCAGTGGCGTCCAGTGAAACTTCCAATGCATCGGCAGGCGGGTGCACCTCGAGCGTCCTTGATACATTGACCCTCGTTCTCACAGAATCCTTCGCAGACATCTAGAAAATAGATAAGTATAAATTAATAACACAATTATAATTTAATTATATTGAAACTAATATTAATATCATCCTAATGTTTAGTACAAAAATATTTTAACTTTCTCCATGATACCTATAGTTTCGTTTCTACCAATGTACATTAAACTGTAATATTTAACCACGTGTCTAATTCAAATAGGCTGGCAAACTAAGAAATATTATTCGCATTATATTTGTTTAATGTATGTGGGCAGTATATAAAACATATGATATCATTTCACCTCATGAGGTATATGCTAATTGAATATAAAATACCTTATTATTATTTTATAAAAACATCAGTGTTCCAATACATCATTAAACCGACGCATTGCTATCATTTGCATGTTTTAAATATGTTACATATAAACATGTGTGCCATGTGATTCGAGATTGTTCAAATATGTTTTTAACATAGTGTATCAATATGAATAATATAAATAAATCTATAAGATATTGACGTTGCTTAGTATGAATGCATAATTTGATTCATATTTCAAGTTTTCATTATATTTGTGAAATAAATATTATCAATGATGTCTGACGTATTCTAATTAATATGCATATTGAAACAATAGTGAAACATATTTTCTTTGCAATGCAAATAAGTTCAATAAAATTCCACATGATTTAATTAACTTACTTATAGCGAAAGATTAATTAAAGCAAATATCTTATGAATATTATTTTGACAAGAAAATAGAATATTAAGATAATAGAAATGAATACCAATATGTTGCAAATATGATCAAGTAGAATGTAGAAATATAAAGGAAAAGGAAGAGTTGCATTAAATAAAATTGTGTTGAAATGCTCGAAGAATCTCATAGTAAGAAAAGTCAAGTTATGATACTATAGAAGAAAATAAAGCACATTTGCAGTAAAACATATAAGGTTTGAGAAACCATTTTTATTTACCTGTGCAAACTTTTCCAGTTCCGTTGTATCCAGGCTTGCATTCACATTTGAATTCACTTGTTTCCGGAATAAGTAGACAATAGGCGTTGGTGTCGCAATGCATGTCCGGACCACTCATATCGCAAGGATTTGTACATTCAGCACGGCTTGTCTGAAAATAATACAACGCAATGTGAGTAAAGAAATCATAGTATTTTGGTTTAAAATATAATATAATAAAAATATAATATTATAATTAAAATATAATTTTAATAAAGTTTCAACTAACAGCTGCTGGTCCTTTGGTGCTGGTATTAGGTGGGCAAGGTAAACAAGAAGTTTGCTGTGCTTCAGATTGATAGGTACCCTTGCGACATTCTATACAGCTGTTCAATGTTCCGTTCAAATATGATCCTGAAAATAAGAAAAAAATCTATGATTAGAAGCTTATTAATGCTTAAAAATTATTTTGTGTCAAATATATAATTTTTTGCGTAAATAAAATTCAATGATTTTATTTTGTAGCCAATGAAATGATTTATTGGCAAATTTAATGCTTTCGAAATCAATTATTACCAGGTGTGCAAACGGGTAGTGAGCATTCTTCAACGGCTGATGCCCCAACCTTCAGTGTCGTTCTTCCTCGTGGACAGCTCTGACATGCTGGTTGAACGCCCTGGGTCCTGAATGTTCCGCGTGGACAAGGTTCACAACGTCCTTCAATTCCCAATTGTAGTCCTAAAATAAAAATAAAGATTTTAACATTGTATGTAATGATATTTGAAATATTTTTTCCGTTGTTATACATTAAATTCGAGTTAATTACCTGATGCGCATTCATCTCTGCATTCGTCTCTCGATGTAGCATCTGATGTCCTTGTAGTTTTTCCAAGTCCGCAAATCTTGCAAGCGAAAGTTCCTTCTTCAGGTTGGTAGAAACCGTGGCCGCAATTTCTGCACTGACCTGCTTCTTGGTCAAAGAATTTTCCAGGGTCACAACGCTCTGTTGAAAAATAATATTTTAGTAAAAATCTTTTACTCAAAAAAAATCCAACCAATTTTCTCAAAACCCTTCTTACCTTTACAATCTTCTACAACTCTGGCGCCTGGTGAAACAGTTACTCCTGGTTTACCCGCAATGGACGGACATGCATAGCAATGCATCTGGCCAACCTCGCTTTGGTACATTCCGAGTGGGCAAGGAATACATGATCGAGTATTTTTATCGTAGAAAGTACCAACAGCGCACGGAACTATAAAGAATTTAAGATTTAAGATAAATTGATGTTCCAAAATTATAATTGTTTTATATACATATATTAATAAATAAATAAATGAGGTTGCTTACCGCAATCAGGAGCTACTACAACTCTGCCTTCAGAACAAGCATAATCCGATTCTAGTTCAAGAGATGCTGGATCAGGAACAGTATTTGGCAGAATTTCACGTACATCAAATTGATCTTCTTCCAAAATTAATTTTTCAAGAAGCCTTTGAACGTTGGAGCGTTCGTTCGTGTTGGAATGGATTACTGGATCGCTGGTTAGGTAAGAATTTAAATTAATATACCAATAAGAATGAATGCGGTAGACAATTGTTAAACAAGCAACATAAAGCCATTTTTGGGTTTGTCTTTTATGTTAGTGTTGTTAATTCATAACCTGGCTTTTTACCTGAAGACAAAATGTGTATTAAGTCAGTTTTATAAGTGAATGTTGTATTAGTCGCAATAAATATTTGAAACTGAACTAGACTAACATAATTTAAATTAGATTTATTATATTATGTATTCAGTACAGAATAATATACTTTCAATATTTAATTATTGCTTCGGGTTTTAAATATTTGTTATAAAAAATAATACTTGTTAGTTCAAACTCAAAGTTTAATAAATTTTAAAAAAACTGATAGTATTTACAAAACTATCATAGTTCAAAGCATTAACGTAGTAATTTTCCATTACAAATTGTTCGTGAAAATAATTCTGTAGGAAATGAATTGTTAAATAAACTCATATATACATACAAGCATGCAATAAGATAAAAGATAAAGCACATGAATATAATACAAGCAAGTTGAATTATATATTAAATGAGTAGATCGTGAAACGAATTTCTTACTTGACGGCAGGGAATGAAATTTCCACGTTATAAGTGTCGCTGGTTTGTCGGCCTTCTCTTGGACTTGGAGTTTTTCTACACAACACAAAAGAGCAAGAATACACATGACACATGCTATTAAGGATACAGATTGAAGACTACTCGAAGAAATGCTGTCCGATAACCGACAATTTTCGAATTAACTCAAATATATTTTACAGTATAGTAGTAAATTAAAATTTTCTCATTTGGGTGTTTCTAAACATCCGAACGCATAAAAAAGTCTTATTAGAAATTGTCATAAACATTCAAAACTATGTATAGAAATCCTTACTCAATCACTATTTTACTATATAAATTTCTAATATTCAAAACTGTAAAATATTTTCTCAATTGGTATTATTTTGGTCATTGAAAGCGATTTGGAATTATCATCAACTGTAATCTACATAATTTACTAACAAACTTTCATTGATTAAGTTATATTTGTTCAATTTACTATAAATTAACTAATAAATAATTATTATGGTATTCATATAGTTAACTATATGATTTAGGAAAAATATATGAGTTTTCTCATCGCTATGTGAATCCAAAACAATGAGGTTGTTAATTTTTTGGTACATGAATTTTACCAGAGCACAAAACTAAGTAAATGAATTTTAACTAACTATAATGAACATTTTGAACTAAAAACTAATATGATTCTATTCATATTGTATTTGTATGAAAATTGCGAATACTTTTGCGAGTGTTATCGAACAACATTTGTAAATGAAATACATAAATAATGATAATATGATATAGAGAACACAAATATCTACACACTAACATTAAATTACAAGTGTTGAACAATGAAATAAACTTTGCGAAACTATTATGATAAATTATAATCATAAAGAAAAACACATAAAATGCATAAGTGAAATGGAAATTGTGCTAAAGAAATAGTTTTTCAGAATCTACTGTGTTGTTTGTTTTTGTAGTGTTTGGGTTTTATACACAAATAATGCTACATTTATATATAAGGTAAATACAGATAACTGCAAATTATATTTGGATACTGATTTATATGACTCTTCATCCCAATTCTTCTATAAAATTTGGTAATAATACCATGCAAAACATTTTTTACTAGTATACTCAAAAATATTTTGAAAAATATATGGTAATGATAATAATTAACTACGTAAATTAACTAATAAAATAATATGTTCTCAATGTTCTACTAAACTAATCATGTAATTGATTATCAAAATTAGATATTTTTAATTATTTAATAAATGTTTTCAGCGCATAACTTTTCCTAATTTCATACATTCATCTTTAATACATTTTATATATTTAAATTTAAAAAATGTACTCACTTTTCAACTGGTACTAAGGCCTCGATTACGTAGGTGCCACCGTCCTGATCTTCTTCCCTATTTTGAGCTTGCCTTGTCTGTCTGTTGGCACGGTGATCGCATTTTACGTTGATGTTAAGGTCCTTACATTCTCGTGTGCCTAAAATTTTTTCATCAAAACGTGTTAAATTTAGTCTAAATTTAAGAAAACAAGAAATTTTAATTTAATACCTTCTACAGCATAAGAGCAGAAGTTCCAATCTCTATTCAATGAGTTGACTGCATTACGAACTTTCTGTCTAAGAACTCCTTGACCGGCTTCATTGCAAAGAACTGAACTTGGGAAAAGCATAGATATCCTAAATACTCTTTGAGCTGGTTTCGATTCTGAACATGCTGGGTAGATCATTGGTAGTGCTGGATTATTGGTTGGTCTCCAGAATCCTTCACCTCCACAGGTATAGAAAGCTGGAACTTCTTGAGAGAATTTCAAACCTGGGTTGCAACTGATCTCGCACACTTTGAATTGGCCGCCTGCGCCCCAGTCCTTACATGATTGCGTTCCACCAATTGGATCGGCAAGTTCGGGACAGAATTCAGCTAAAATATAAAATAAAATAAATATTTCTATTTGTTATCAAACTCTATTTTATATGAGTTTTTTTTTTCATATAAATAGATGCTTACACAACAATGAAACTCTAAAGTGGCATGTAGCTGTATTTCCAGCCTCATCATAAGCTACGTATGCAATATCATACGTTCCCCAAAGTAATGTTTGTCCAGGACGGTGACCATTCTTCTCTTGTATTTTAACTACTCCTACATTATCACTGAAGTGTGGTTCATCCCATGATACAATGGCTGAACCGTTCTTGGCAATAACCCATAAATCGCCTGGGCAATACTCAACTTTAGGTGGTACCTATAAAAATTTACATTACATTTTTACATACAAATTTTAATTTTACATATTTTTTTACAATAATCAATTATATGAAAATGTATTTAGTATACCTTATCGACTTCCAGTTGTTGGCATCTTGCACCGGTATAACCTGCTGGGCATATTCTTTGTCCGCAATGGCTGGGTACAATTCGTTCTACACCACCGGCTGTGTCTTCATAACCAGCCCATGTGAGTAAGAGTCCTCTGTACAACACTGGTTCAGTTCTGAAAATAAAACAATACATATGTCGGCAATTATTATAAATGGACTATTATTAATTTAGTAATTGACAACTTGAAAACAAAATGTTTTGTTAATGAAAGTAAATAAATAACTCACCTGCAGTCTCTGACTTGCTTTTGAATTTCGTTCGTAACATCCAAAGCTCGTCCCCAAATTTGTACTTTAGTTAAGTGCCCTTGGAAACCTGATTCGGTATATGCCTTTGGATTATCAGAACGTGGTTTACCTAAGGTGGTCCATGCGCTAAAAAAACAAATTACCGTTCCATACATAATTTCACAGACCAAAATCTATAGATTAGCGTATAAGAAGTTGGCATCCACTATCAACCTTCAAATATACTTACTAGTCTGGTAATACTCGTCCACTGCCATAGCCCTCTACTTTGCTAGCAATTAAACCTTCGGTGATAAGGGTAAGTTCTCCACCGCGTTCACCATTCCATACAATAGCTATGTGATGCCATTGACCATCGTTCATAGTAGCGTATTCGCGGAACGCAAGGTAAACATCTTGTATATCAGGGAAAAGTGAAATTTGTACTCCATTGGAATGTACTTGAACCAAAATTCGGCGACCGGTTGCAACATGAGGAGAACTAAAAAAAGTAATTAAATTGAAGTTTGTTCTACACAATTCTCATTATATATTATCTTATTTTATTCGAAAGTATAACTTTTCTTACTTGACATTGTACATAGTGAAGAAAATACCGCCTTCATCTTTTTGAGTAAACTGAACCCACATAGCAATTGTCATACTTCTGGAAGCGCCAGTGTAGAATGGCACGACTTGAGCAGCACTGCTTCGTGTTGGATCACTGAAGTACAAATCGTAGTCCACTTGAATTGCTAAAATAAATTGATTTATAAATAAATTATGGTTATAGAAACTTTAATTATGTACAATAAATAAAATTATTGCTGTGAAGAGTATATGTAAAATTTGTGTCATTTTGTAAATTTAACTTACTCTTGCGACAATCGTCTCCTGTTAAGTTGAATGGACATTGGCAGTAGAACTTCTCAGTCAAATCGATGCAAGTGGCAGAGGGAGGACATGAATTTTCTTTACAATCAACGATGTCTTCATCACAAGTTTTACCTGAAAATTATAATTTTATTAGTTATTATAAATAAAAAAGTATAAGATGAAAATTATTTAAAAGTTTCTAGAATTGATTTATATAGTTAACTACTTTTTAGACTATTTACCGGTATAACCAGGAGGACAAATGCAGGTGAATCCTTCGCCTTCATCAATGCAAGTGGCTCCATTTTGGCATGCTCCAGCTTGACAGGCATCATATTCATATTGACATCCAATACCAGTATAATCAGCAGAGCACGAGCAATTCAAACCGGATCCAAAGTCTTGGCAACGACCACCGTGCATACATGGGTTTCCTATGCAACGTTCAGGAGCAGTTTCGCATTGTTTTCCGTCAGTTCCAGATGGACAACTAAACAAGAAATATATAAATAATTATTGAATTTAGACTATCTACTATTTTATTAACAGTTAATTTATTATTTTACTTACACGCAGAAATAGTCTTGGAACAAATCAATACAGTTAGCATCATTTTGGCATGGTTTATTTTGACAGGCTCCAACATCCTTTTCACATCTTTGACCAGTCCAGCCAGGTTCACATAGACACTTAAATCCAGCAACGTCATCTCTACATACTGCACCGTTCAAGCAGGGCGAAGATGCACAGTCATCAGCATTAATTTCACACTGTTTACCACTATATCCATCTCTGCATTGGCAAAGATAAGAATTATCTAAATCTACACATCGTTCAGCACCAATTGGGCTACAAGGGTCGCTTAAGCACTCATCGATCTCAGCTTCACATTGGAGTCCGACAAATCCTGGTCTGCATTTACAAAGAAAACCGTCAGCCTGATCGGTACAAGTCGCTCCATTCTGACAAGGTTCTGAAGCACAATATTGTATGCGATGCTGACAATGTTTTCCAGTAAATCCTGGCTCACATGTGCAAGTGAAACCATCAACGAGATCAGTGCAAATAGCGTTGTTGAAGCATGGTTCATTAGAGCAGTCATTGATGTTTATCTCGCATGATAGACCTGAAACAATATGACATAGTTTTTTAGATAAAAATATTGATAAAAACTTTTGAATGCTCTTGAAAATATGTGTGCTTACCTGTCCAGCCAGGGTGACATACGCACTGATGACTAAAGAATCGATCTACACAAACTCCGTTTTTGCATGGAGAACCAGCGCAAAGATCAATTTTCTCATGACATCTCTTGCCAGTAAATCCAGGTGGGCAATTACAACTGGAGTAAAAAATAACACATTTAGTTTTATATTATATTATTTAATTTTTTAACAGTATTCGTTTAAGAATTTTTATAATACAATGACAATGACTAAAAATTCTAGAAAAAAAATAGAATACAAACCTAAAGTCATCAACAAGATCAGTGCAATTAGCCCCAAGTAAGCAAGGCTTTTCGGCACAATCGTCAGTATTTATTTCACAATGTTGACCTTCCCATCCAGGTAAGCATTCGCATTTGAATCTTCCTTGTTGCAAAGCCAAACAAGTTGCTCCGTTGGTGCAAGGGTTTCCATTTGCTGTGCATGGGTTTATCTATGATATAAATAAAAATAATAATTTATTATAACTTCATATTAAAAATGTATTATTGAATACAATTTATAATTGAATTATATAAATGGTGTAAATAAATATTATAAATATTTTTGAGGGCTTACCGTAATATCACAATCAGGTCCAGTATATCCAGCTCTACATAAACAAGTGTAGTTGTTATAGCCGGGTTCATCTTTGCACATAGCTCTCGCAGGGCATGTATCATTTCGGCAATCGGATCGTTCTTCTTGACAGTTTATTCCAGTATAACCTGGTGCACAAGTACATCTGTAACCTTGAGGGAGATCTGTGCAGGAAGCACCGTTGAAACATGGTTGAGAAGAACATTCATCTATATCAATCTCGCAACGACGTCCGGAAAAGCCGGCAGGACAGAAACATTGAACTCCATGACCTACGAGAGTGTGAAGATTATGCAATAATTAGATATACTTAAGACACGTAAAATATATTATAAATTAGTTTTCTGTATGTTTAAATCTTTTTACCCATTGGAACACACAAGCCTCCATGTTGGCAAGCATTATCTGCACATTGGACTGGTTTACATTCCTCCCGTCCGACTGCACCAGGTCCATCAGTTCTCATATTTGTTGGGCATTCGTGACAAGTGTTTTGGCCAGGATTAGATTGATAAAAGTCACGTGGGCAAGGAGAGCATGGTGCCAAGCCAGTTGGGGAATAGAATCCAGGAGCGCATTTAGAACGACATCTAATAAAACACAATTAAATAAGCATGTTATAATAAGTATTAAGACTGTTAAGTTTTGTAATATTAAACAAGCGCACATACCTATCTCTTCCTGGAGCAGCTGGCTGATACGTGAACGTGCTAGCGGGGCAAGCTTGACAATCTTTGTAACCTCCAGTGGGTGGTTCACCAGTGTAACTATTTCTAGGGCATTCCAAGCAAGGAACTAATCCAGTGGGTGAATATGTTCCATAACCGCATACAGGTACACACTCCGATATGCTCTTGGAACCTTCCTCGCGTGTATATGTACCTGATGGACATTTAGCGCAAGATCCTTGACGATCCCTATTCTGGTAGTATCCTCGAGGACAATATGTGCAAGTGCGTTGCTTATCTCCGGCAAAAGTACCCGCTGGACAATGAACTAAAAAAAAATTTAATGTTTGATTTGCGCATAGTCACATATTATTCTAAACTAAAACCAAATTAAAAATTATGTCAATATTAATACAAAAATTAATCGAAATAATAATACATGCAAAATCATGGAATTTAAATACAATATAAAATTTTCAACTACTAGCGAACATTTTATTAAAAATAGCAATAATATCTATGATCGTGTCAAGCAATTGCATTTTTAATTTGTATTTTTTGCGTATAATTAATACTTACGACATCTAGGAACATCATTAGTGTCCATATTCAAAACTTCTCCGACGCTACATGTAAAGCCGCGGCCAACAGAACTCTTCAGTGCTCTTAGAGGTGGGCATTGATTTCCTATGCTTGACACATTCAATAAAGGTTCAATAACTGCGCTAGCATGTGGTACTGATAAATCGAAAATTAAATTCAATGTAGTTCCACAAAGTTCATAAAGTTGAGGTGAGCGAACTACGGGTAAAATGGCAAGCACAAAATCCATCTGAAAACAAACAAATATAATTTTAATAACTTAAATATAATGCTGTTTCCTAAAAACAAAAAACTAGTAGTTACAGCTGTGTCACAAATTATGATAATATGATATAAGTACCCTGGTATAGTGAAGAGGAATGAGAAAATTACAGCAAAATTATATGAATTTACCTTGACTACATTTTCCTCAGTCAGCATTGGAATTGTATTAATGAAAGATACATTCATGTTAACATTGATGGCGGAACATTGTTGTGATAAAATTCCATTCATAGTTTGATAGTATTGAGCCATCAGATCTTGATATTGACCTAAACATGCTGAGGCCACAGCACCGTTAGCCCTGTATGTAACCGAAGCTACTAGATGGTATTCAGCTTGCTGTGTATCTAGAAATATATTAAAGTATTTATTCACTGTTTATTGTTACTAATATAAATTCTCCAGTATTAATATTTTTAACCCAAATTTTTAAAGTTTAAAAGATAATTTAAATCTAAATATATATACTTACTTTCTGATACACAATCAGGTACAACAGATGTTGGTGTCCATAATTTCTTAGTTTCACAACCAAATGTTTTTACAGGTTCGCCATCAGTAAATCTATATCCAGGTTTGCATGTAGCGATACACTGTAACCCACGTTCGTTTGGCAAACAATTCAAAGCTCCATTTGCAGGAGGCTGCAGCTCCCAATCTACACATGGCGTAGCTTGTACTGATACCTTAATAATTGATTGATAAGTTATAATAAGACGTATTGTACTAGAATCAAATATAAACTTATTCAAAACTCAAGGGAATAGTAGATACCTGGAAGTGGCACATAGCTTTATTTCCATATTTGTCTGATGCAACAACAGTAACGTTTTCAAATCCACCAATTGGAATAGTAGCGCGTTCAGGTATGAAGTTTATCCTAACATCACCAGAAGCATCAGAGGCATTAATACGTCTTCTTGTGTCGTTGAAATTTACAACATAGCTATCTTGTTTGTCTACTAATTCTATCACATAGCTCTGAGGACAACTCAATAGTGGTGGAGTATCATCAGGTACGGAGATGTTGATTTCACAAATAGCAACATTACCATCATTGTCAAAAGCAATGTATTTAACTACCATATCTTGGAAAACCATCATAGGGGAACGGAAACTTTGAGGTTTCACTTCTAGACGAGCAATTGTTCCTGAATTATCGACGGCTGTTGGCTCGGTGAAATTAATTGGTAATAATCCACCATTTCGGTCTTTCTGAACAATTATAGGTTGTTGAGGACAGTTTTGGAAAACTGGTGGCTCGTTATCTATAATCAAAGACATGAATAGAATATTTGATTTTGGTTATTTTTACGTGTAAATATTTTGCAGAAACTTACCAACACAAGGAGAATATCCATAATCATAACCAAGAAGTGGTTCAGAAGCGGGTTCATCGCATCCCATTAACTCAAATTTCAAACATGCGTTATCCATATAACTGTAGATTCCTGCAAGTATATTTTGAATTTAGTAAAACCTATAACATTTTAAATCAAATATTATGTAATAATTAGAAGATATTTACCTAAAATCACAAATCTAGCTTGTACGTATTTTGGTAAAGTTATCATTGCCAATTCTCCGTAATTTCCAGGATCTCTCATAGTAAGATTAAAATTGGGGAAGTAGATAACATAATTTTCATTTTCAGATTGCTTATAGAAGAAACGAACTTCAGTTGGCCTGCCAACAATGTCATTTGTAACAACACCTTTCACAAGAATTGCTTTCACTCGGTAAACTTTTCCCAAGTCGACGCTTACGTAAGGAAAAGCTTCTTGATTTCCACACCAGCCAGTAACTGAGTTCAATCGCACATTTCTAGCTTCATAATTTGGTCTATAAATAAATAGAGTTTTTAATATTTTCTTAATAATAATAATGTAAATCATTTATGCTTAAGTTCTGACCTTTCAGATGTAGCATTAATATTCTTATCCGGAATTTTGCCAGATGCAATTCCCAGTGGTCGAATAACTTTACATTCAGGTTCTCGAATACACGTAATTGGTCTTGGGTTGATTAGAATATAACCAGGTCTTGAACAACCGAATACAACTTCAGAACCTTGTTCATAACTTCTTGCTACTTGGAAACCGTCACTGGGCCTACCAGGATCTGAGCATACTGGTCCTTCACAACGCAAATCTCCGAAATCCCAAATGCCATTAGCTTGACATCTAAAATTATTTTTAGTATTAAAATTTTGATTGCGACAATGATTTGATAATTTTACGAATAATTTTTATATTTTACCTCACTACGTTGTCGTGTTTGCTTGTTTGTCCAGCTAACTTGAATGTGTTCTGACATCCAAAGAAGAAAGATGATTGATATTTTGTGTCCATATATTGACCATATTCAGCACCTGGTGTTGGTAATGGCATACCGCAATCGGTACGAGGGCAGGATGGTTGTGCGCCGGATAACCAGTAGTCAGGCAAGCCCTAAGAAATTTGAAAAGTAACACATAACAAATATTCTAAAATAAAAAATTGCTACTGACGTACTACTTATGCATATAATTATCTTACCGGTTGTGGATCATAAACACACTGTCTAAATCCAGCAGTTGCAGTATTTCTGAGTTTTCTTCCAGGGTTTGAGCAAGTAAGTGTTACATTATCTCTGAATGGTACCAGTACACTTTCTTCGTTGTTACGTACAATTCTTAATCCTTCATTTTTCTCGTCCGGTAGGGATACACATTTAGCATCTGCAGCAAAAGCAACAATATGTAAGTACCATTAGAAACAATTGATGAGAATAATAAAAAAAGAAGTTTTACATACATTGACATTCTGGTACAGTGCCGTTCCATTGTCCAGTGGAAGTACAGATAAGTGAAACGGAGCCAATCATTACATGACCAAAGTTGCATTGGAATCGAACAATATCTTCAAAGTGGTACATATCCTAAAACAAAATAAAAAATGTTACGTATTTAAAATATAAATATAACGTATCATTTATTAATGTATTTTGAATCTTACTTTTGTGGATAATAGTTTGCCATTTTCTGGAGGTGTAAGTTTAGGGCACATGATAGGTACGCATGATTTATCTTTCTGGAAAGTATCGCCGTCTCTAGTTCCAGTTTCGGATGACTCAATGAAATATCCGGCAGTACCATTTTGAGTAAACAATTCAAATCCATTGTTACATCCGCATGAATAATTTCCAGGGCTATAAAATAATTAAAATAAATGAACAACGTTTTATAAAAGTTTGATAAACATATTTATGCGTAATTTACTAGTATGTGTGTATTTTATATTGCATATGATAAAGATATAATATCAAATTAAAATCTATAAAAACGGGTAATTTATTTTATTACCTGTTTATACACTTCTGATCGCATCCTCCATTGTTCTTAGCACATTCGTTGATATCAGCACATTCCAATCTCGTACAACCCATCGCTTCGAGTTTCAAGCACGGTGCTCCTACGTAGTCTTGGATTTTAAATCTAATATATTGCGCTTCGATTGGAACCGGTAAATTTAATACAGATAAGGTCGGTTCGAGAATTCTGAATTCAACCGCAGTACCATCGGGATTTGTATAATCTTTGAAGACATCGGTTAAGTCATTGGTATACTAGAAACGTCAAATGATTGTTAATATTACAAATCAAAGTTATTATATCTTAATTATATGTACGATTATTTTTTTTGTATTATCATGAAATCTTTACCTGTATACGAACGGCTGATGTGAACGCGATGTTGCCGTCATGTCTTTGTACGCTCATAGTTCTAAATCCTCTTATGATAGTAGGGGCTCGCAAGTCAATCATTACCCAATTTGCACCTGGTTCCAAGCTGTTACCGCACCATCCACCACCCGCATTGAGACGTACCATCTAATGAAAACATATTATCATAAAATAACTTCTAATTAGATAATATTATTTTTTAATAAAAATAAATTATAAATATATTACCCCTTTGTGATATGAATTTTCAGTTCCAGAAACGATAATTGATTCGTCGGGGATACCACCATTAAGGAGACCTAAATCGGCGACAGGTCTACATTCCAATGTAGGTGCGAATCCTGCGCGACATTTGCAGTGGAAAGATCCGGGCGTATTAGTACATTCAGTCGAAGCAAGATCACATTGTGAGCTGGCACATTCGTTGATATCTATAACAGGCGTATATTTAATAGTAACAATAGTTTCATAATGAATGTTATGTATGAAATAAATTAAAGATAAATTACCTTCGCACTTAGGAGGATTATCAAATACTTCATTATCGCCGCAACGAATAATATTTGGGCCAGTCAATTTGAATCCCTTGTAACATTGCACGCGAGCTTCATCTCCAAAATAGTATGTCCTGGAAACATCTGTTACAAAGCCATTTTTAATCGTAGGCAACGTCGGACATCTTGCTCCTAGAAAAAATGAATCACACCATGAATATTTTTCTATAATTCTAAATTTTTTTGTGTAGATTTTAAACTCACGTGTGCATGAAGGTACATCTCCAGACCAGGTCCCATTGCTCATACAAAGCAGAACAGGGTGACCACTTCGTTCGTAGCCTGGTTCACATTCGTAACGTACAATGGTTCCGTAACTTCGTCCTCCACCATTTAGAATTGAAACATTTGCGTGTGGAACTTCTGGCAGAGCTACGCACTGAGATGCTATAAACGAAAATATCAATCAGACATTACGTAAATTCAATTGAAGAAAAAATATAGTTATTTTTATATTTTATCTTACCTAAACATGCGGGTTTACGTTCCCATTGACCATCAGCAAGACAAGACATAGTTTCGACTGGAGATGCTGACGGGAAAGCAAATCCTGCATAACATTGGTACATGGCGATACCTTTGTATGTTACATTAGTTGATCCAATTGAAAAACCGTTATCTATTTGAGGAACTGGTCCACAATACACCTCTAAAAAAGGAAAATAAAATTTAGTTATTTATTGAAACAACTCAGATAACAATCATGTTAGACATTTATTAACTAAAAAATTTAGATGTTTTGGAATTTCATGTAATTGTATTTCTTATTTACCTTGGCATTTTGGTATGTATGTGATCGACCAGTTTCCACCTGGTAAACATTGAGTTGTCAATTTAGATTTTCCGGTAGCAAATTCTTGACCGATAGGGCAACTGAATGTTACTACAGCTCCAAAAGCTGTATCTCTACTCGAAGCCATTGCTCCAGCTCCAGCTTTTAATGGTGGACAATCTGAAGAAAAATAACAAAAATAATTAAATATGAAAAATTACAAATTTTAAACGTAAATATTTTATTAATAATTTTACCTGCTGAAAATGTGGCTTTCCATCCTTTGCCGCTGTGCAAAGCGTCGGTTACAAATCTAATTAACATTTCACCACTTGAAGCCGTTAAAGTAATCCTTGGGGGTGATCCTGAAGTAAAACCAGATCCTGGATGTAAACGAAGTCCGCTTACACTTGATCCATCGTAAACCTTAAAGTGTTACAAAAATTTATTGTTAGCCTTTTAAATATTCTTTCAGTAAATGAATTAATATAATCTGAATTAATAAAGTTACTCACTTGAACAAAATCAGTTTGATGTACATCAAAATCGATGAAGTTGAGTGACAGTGCTCCACCTTTAGGATTTTTAATTTTATAAAGACATTCTTGGTTGCTAGGATAGTTCATCAAGCCGTATGCAGCTGATGTTATAGTGCCATTATTAGCTTTGATCGTCGCTCTGCAACCTGTAAAAATTAAGACAAATCTTTTAATTAAGCAACCTGGTGTAATTAATCAATTATTAAAAAATAACGTAATTTTATTACCTTGGGTATATTTAATATTGAATCCTTTCTGTGAATCGCCTAAACTTGTTTTAAAATAGATATATAATTGATGACTAGTAGATACAATGATTCTTTGGTTATCTTCAGCATTTCCTGTAAGTCGAGCAATAGGTTTGCTTTTGGGGTTGTCTCCATCCCTGACTAATAAATAATCTCTATTGCTATTAAGCATCATGTCTTCAACCTAGAAGTTGAAATAATTATGATAAACCACAATATTAATATTATTATCCATTTTTATTGCGGAATATTACCTCCAGAGAAATAATTCTTCCTGGTTGAGCTTGTATAATATACAAACATTCCAAACCTCCTGGATATTGCATGGGATATCCTGGTGATGTCAAAGATTGTCCTTGCGGCGAAGCTCTCAGCATACCACCACAGTTTTGTGGTTCAGTTTTCCATGAAGCTCTATAATAAATAATTCATATATGTGATAATTAGAACATAACATCAAATTGTTTTTCTAATGAGCATACCTGAATCCTTTTCTTTCAACAGATGCGTCAGTGCTAAATTTAATGATCATGAAATTTGAAGCTGATACGAATAATCTGTTAGCCAGATCTTGCTTTCCTGAAAGCGTTGCTAAATTTACGGCTTTGTCTTCAGTTCGTCCTCCGACTAGAATTTGAACCATATCGAAAGTTTTTTCGGTTTCGAACTCTTGGAACTGTGAAATAAATAAATTTAATATCTAACTATCCGGCGATGTTGAAAAAAACATTCTGCAATCAAATTATGAATTATGCATAAACTGCTCATAATATCACATATCGTTCTGAATGTCGTAGACCAGGAAATTATCATTATCATACCTGCAAAACAATATTGTGTCCTTGGGGTCCTTCCAGAGTCCATTTACAATCGGCCAAAGGAGTATATTTTTGTGGATAGTTAGGACTTTCTACGACGTCACCGCTGCTGGCCATATAATAGTGGCATAGGTTGGGACAATCAATTTCATCAGACGAATCGCCACAATCATCGGTTTGGTCACAGCGGAATGCCGCGTTGATGCATTTTCCATTTGAACAATGGAATGATCCTGGAAATAATTAGAGTAAACCACTTAATACGATTAAGTATTATAACTATACGGAACTATATTTCTACCTCATTACCGGGCAAAATAGTTTTTAAGAGATACAATTTATATTATTGAAAAATTAACTAAAGTTGAACATGCTATCATAAAGTTATGATCAGAATGTTTTCTAAGAATTTATAAGATAAAAAATAATTTGATCTAACATTTGTTAATTAGTTGCTAGAAATTCTTAGAGTCTTATTTTGTAAAAATATTCGTTTTAAATACCCTTTGGACGAATTTGTGAGTGCTTATCAGAAAGATTTATTCTATTTATTTCTATAATAATAGCTGGTTATGTATTTAGTAATTTTTATGGATTAGTATAAAAAAGTCCGGCGGTGGTCCAAATATTATTCAATTTAGGTAAACTTTTAAACTAATCGAATGCAACAAAATATACTAGACTAAAAATAAAATAAACTTTTAAGCTAATATAGAATTATACCATTTTGTTGCCTATGTTATCGAAAAGATAAAATTAATTCCTTTACTACAGTTATACTTTTAACAAAAATTTTCAGCCAAACATATGGCTACTTATACACATAAGCACTCTTATGCGTGAATACGAATCATTTAGGAGTATTTTAGTTTTATAAAATATTTGGTATACTAATTGAGTTAATATTGAACCAAACAGCCATAGAACAACACTATGTTCTGAATGCTGTTGGATAATGAATATATATAGATATATATATATATATATATATATATTTTGACATAATCATTATAATTTATAATACATATAGTTTTTAATAAACTAGTACTTATTGGGACTTATTGCTTCAGAATAAATCGATAATAAATAATAAATATATACAATAATATCAGTTCTAATATAAATCGCGTATATAAATACATTCAGCGAGTTATGCTTTTGCAAAAAAAAAAATTCAATGCAAAAAAAAATCGATGAATATTCAAAATAAAATCTAGTACAGAACAAATAGAGTTTTAATGTTAGAAAAAATATAAGGTCTTGAGTGAGAGTCATGTATTTCAGAAAAAAAATTATAAGCAGTATCTTTTTTAGTTGTCTATCAAATAATAAAATTCATGGTATCGAAAAGATACCGCATTTGATCGACTTAATATTTATAAAAATTATACCTCGACAGTTGTTATATTTATAATAAGCTTTATACAAAACGAATATCCATGCTTATTACAAATTGAGCTAATTTTTTTGAAGTAGTACAATGCGGTAATAAAAGGTAATAATATTACCTGTAGGGCATGCTTTCGTTTTACACATGAAAGGCAAGAGCGACTCGCATGTTGTGAGTTCCCATGATTGTTGGTCTCCGGTTATTGAAACATCTACGCATTCACCTGATTCTGGGTTAGGTTGTTGTAGTCCCCAAAAACCTGAAATAAAACAGAGAAAATTTAAGAAAGATTCAAGAATTTGTCTTGGAGCGAAAGCTAACTCTTCTTATTTACATGGGTGTATTCAAATTTAAATGTGTTATATAAGCTTATGGAATGCACATAGATAAAAACTTCAATAAGGCATTTCAAGCTGCCAATCCTGCAAGAACATATTAACTGCAAAATATGTTCGTCATGACACCAATAAGAATCATTGCATAACTATAAGCGCAATAAGTAAATATGCATTCTCCTACTTGCGTTCCGGATAATTGCAAATGCAATTGCCAAGTGCTAAGTTGCTCCCATGATGATAGAAGTGATCAAAATTATTTACGACTTAGGCTTGAGAAAATTATTTAAATAACAATTTTAAATATTAATATGTATATATTCATATTAATAAATAGAGGAATTCATTATTTTATTTGAAACCAGCTGCATACATTACTACATTTCGTAAAGTATCAATCAAATATTTTCTGATTTATGGACATTGGCAAAATATTTTCTATTGAAAAAATTGATTTAATTTTTTTTTGTTTAGTTTAATTAATTTGACCTACAAGGTGATAAGATGGGAAAAAGAGAACATTTTAAAATTTTTAGTTCAATTCTGTCAGCTGGCATTTTGAATGATGTTTGTAGTCGCAATTCTGATTTTTTCAATTTTACTTGAATACTTTTAAAAGCATACTTCAAGTTAGGAAAGTTTGGCAAAAATAATGGAATTAAAAAAAAATGGCAAAAATAATCGAAGTCGACCAGTATGTATGTATGTAGTTGCAATATAGCTCAGAAAGAATCTAATAATCGACGATAAGCAGCACAAAATGCTAGATTGCTAACAATACAAATGATCTAATATAAAATTGATAGAAATTGCATTCTTTTAACAATATTTATTTTTGATATCATAATTAAATAGCATGTAGTACCTGCAATCGCAATAGTTGTAGCCAGAAAAAAATCACTGAATTAGAAACACTTTTTTTTGTTAATGACATTTAAGTTGATGCTTTGACAATCATGAGTTAAGAATAAAAATATGCAGGTATGAATAAAGGCTTCTATCAAAATATGATCTTCTATTAAATATGATCATTTTAGTAATAGTTATGGTAATCGATATAGCAACGGTTTTACAAATGAAAAAATATCAAAGGGTCTAAACCTTATTTTATTCCCACTAGATTTAACAGCACAAAATGTTAGATTGCTAACAATATACATGATCTAATATAAAATTGATAGAAATTGCATTCTTATAAAAGTATTTATTTTTGATATCATAACTAAATAGCATTTAGTATCTGCAATAGCAATGGTTCTAGCCAGAAAAAAATCACTGAATTAGAAACACTTTTTATTTTGTTATTTATTTTAAGATACAAACACGATATTTAAGTTGATACTTTGACAATCATGAATTAAGAAAAAAAATGCAGATATGAATACAGACTTCTATCGAAGATTTTAATAGTATTATTTACTACCAACAAAATTAAATTAAATATGATCATCATAGTAATGGTTTTACAAATAAAAAATTATATCAAAGGGTCTAAAATATTATTTTATTCATAGTATATTTTCCGGTGGACGTATCTACTAATATCTAATCAAAATGTTATCCTTTCCATGTATATTAAACAATAAACAGATCGCTAAATAAAATCATTGAAAAAAGAGTGTAAGATACAGTTTATTTGTTATTACACTAGAGAACACTATATGTTTACGATGACATTTAAAGTTTAGTTCAAAATTAGTGGGTATTATTACCTAGTATAATAAACTCACCTGCATATTGCGATACCAGCATACCAGACGCTGATTCTAAAGTATTCGTTCGCAGATCATCCAGGGATGCTAAACCTAACCAATAATGTTTCAAGGACCTGCCCGTGACAACACTACTCGTCACATTGTTCTCGTCGTATGTCTCCACCGACATCAGATCACTACCGTACCTGAAATGGAATATTTTGGATTAATAATATTTAAATAAAATAGTAATAAAATTTTGATATAGATTTACTTTATATTTTCTTTTGTATTCTAAATGAAACTTTACTCTAATCTTTTGTTTTAAAAAAACGCACCAAAACTAAGCTATTCATATATAAATGTATGTAGGATATATTTTAATAATTTTCAGTCAAATTCATATTAACTAAATGATAATAAATTATGGTTGGGGAAACCGTCAACAATATGTAAAATCAATTAGTTAATGAAAACAAATCAAAATTTTCCATACTACTTAATACTGACCTTTAAACTGATCATATATTGGCATAATTTTTTATTCAATTATGTCAATATATTTTGAATTTATTTTTATTCAGTCAGTTATATAATATAATACATGCCAATTGTTAAAATTAGAAAAGAATACTATTAACATTTGCAGCCATATACCCCAATTGTTAATTTGTCTGTCTCATATTATTTAATTGTAAAAAAAATTTATAATTTGTCGATATATTATACATTTTTTGTTAAAGATTGGTCATAAATTTTTTATTTGAATTATTTAGTCCTATTAATAAATAAGAACGACTAATATAAATAAACTCTATTCGACAAACTAGGTAAAGTAAACTCTTACAAGCTTTCCATTTTCTTATTTACTTATAATTAATCATTAGAATTTACATGAGCAATGTAAATAGGGCACTTAGGCTAATCTTCTATAATTTAACACCTATAACAGTTGTTAGTTTATTAAATTTTATGTTACAATTGGAATTTGGTTTTGAATAGTTTATTTGTTTATATGGTTACTATGCATTAAATCAAGACTATTTGAAGCTCTACATTGCAAGATAAAGTAATTAATTAATAAAGATTATTTGCAATATATCATATAGTTCTCCCATATATTTTAAAATGTCAGTGTCTACTGCAATAGCATTTTAATGACCGCAATATTATGCAAAACTACCATTTCATATAGTCTGTAACGGTATCAGAAATAACTCGCAGGAATCACAAACAATTCTTGTAAAGAACATTCCACAATATCACCGTTATTTCTAACAAGGCCTTTTTAATCATTTATTCCTTTAAATAAATAACGTAGTTGCTTAAAATTAATAGGAAGAAAAAATATAATATATTTCATACACGTTAATGGCAATTTTTTTTATTCAACACTTTTTCCTTTTGCTTATGAAATATAAACTTCTGTCATATTTAGTAAATCAATATAGGATTTGTCTGTTAAAGACTATTTATACTTAAAAATATATTTATGATCTATAGAATAAAGCGGAGCCTAAAGTTCCGAGGGTAGAAATCTCTACCACCGATATCTTAAAGACAAGTATAGTTAAAAAATATTTAACATTATCTGAAAGTAGAGGGAAAAAAATGTATAACCAAAAAACCGGTGAATTTTTGAAAAACTGCAAAAAACACATTTCTATAATAAGAAATTATATGGAAATTTTACCGAACATAGTCAGATAGTTGTTTGTTTGATATGTGTTATCTGTTGTGATATAATTGGTTTGGTCAAATTGGATCTTTGTATCCTGCCCTATTCTATTACAAAATATGATTTTTTCGTGAAATAAAAAATGTTTCACAAATATTGAGAAATCACTGAAACAATAACAATAACTGTTTTCAATAATATTATTTATCATAATTCATCTAGATTAATGCAATTGTTACTGAGAACATTCCGTAATATTACTGTTACCTTTAATGAGACGTTTCTATTAATCTTTATAACAAACAAATTACATTCTCTGTTCATTACTGCAAACTTTACTATTGTGTTCGCAAAAATGTGACTGTAATAAGATATTTTTAAATTGCGATATTGCTTAAAAAGCTTGCGTTTGCTGGGAATACTGCTATCTATTGTATACCAAATAGTATACGGTTTTGGTACTTATGCCGCATTTAATGTTATGAAATAAATTCTTTAAAGACCACTTGACAAAATATTACAAGAAGTTTGACGTATTATTAGACTGATTTAGTATGTGGTTTCATATGGGAGCATTATTTTAAACAAAGGATATATCGTAATCAGGCGCACGCCTTATCTTTTGCATCATAATTTGGTCACTTTTCTCTGAAGTATACACTTATATTTGTATCCTCAATATTTTATTCACGTACTTAATGCTTTAAAGTACTAATACAAAAATATGGTAGCAGAAATATTATTTCTCAATATTTGGGTATAATAGAAATAAAAATTCACATCAATTGGGTCATTCCTGTGATTAGAATTACTACTTCAACGTCAATCAAATAATAATTTGTGAGAATGAAGGATCATATTCTTATATTCTAATATCCATATAAACTTACTTTATAAGACATTTTCAAACAAGTTTTAGTAATCTTTGAAAAATCCAAAAGACCAAAGAAATAAGAGTTTCTTGGTCTGTAATTAACTGTTTGAGTAGTTGTTCCATATAACAACAATAAATCCAAAGAATAGAATAGGATTTACTTTTAAAATAAATCTATTTAATAATATTTCATATTTAAAACGTGTATATAAAACCTCGAGCACTTGCTCTACATTCTTGGATCAAACAATGTTAAAGATAATTGTAATTAATATAACCAAACTGTACCTATAGAATTGAACAAACTTATCACTTGCGACGAAGTATAAATTTTATTGCCTACAACTTTATCAATTTAACCACGTTTATTTATTAGAAGTAAAAAACACTTTCATTATTATAAATTAAAAATACATCATCGATTTTTGAAAAGTAATTCAATAGTATCAAGTAAACTATATTCTACACTAAACGCAATTTTACGTAAGTCGAGAAGAGACGAGAATTAGGACTTCACAAATATATCAAACAAAAAGTTTGTCCAAAAATTTAATAAACATTTTAGTACTAAAACGCCCTGACAATGATGAAATCCATAAAAAAAACTGATTTCATGAGAAAAAATTACAGATAAAAGCACATAGCACATTTGAAACTAACACTTCAAATATATATTGAAATTTAGACTTGTAATAATGTAAAACCTTTGCTCTGAATTCATTCAAAAAAATTGTTTACAGTTATCCTAAATGACAATATTAAAGAAATTAAAAATTAGAACAAGTAAATGAAATAGGATTCTGTTTGTAATTGACTATTATATGAAAGTTAATTCTATTATATGTTTATGACTTTTGTTATATTTTTTCCTGATCCTAACATTGATACTAATAAATACATTATTAAAAAAATAAGCTAGAGTTAAGTCTAAGTTTGAATGTATCATAGTTTTTTAAGGACAATTAAGGATCGCAGCCTTATATTCTCCAACAAGATTATGTGGCAGTGAAAAAGGGAGGCAGAAATATAGCAAATTTTATGTCTTTGAAGCTTTGTGTATTATATTTAAAAAAGCCAATATTTAAAAGTAAGAAATAAAAAGTTCCAGTTTTTTAATGCACATCATAAAATTTGATTTCAAAAATGTATAATTGAGATCATTAGTGAATGACATTAACACATAGACCTGAATAAATATTTAACTCATTACTAAGCTAAATAAATTACATATTATCTAAGTTTTCTAAAGCAATGACCGCAACCAGTTTTTTGCCGGATTGAAAGAAATTCCAATTGGTCTTGGTAAAATTATAAATTTATTCAACAAATCTAGTTCCGTCTGACGTGCGTGCTATATGGGTTATTGAATCTTTCTGAAATGTCAAAGTTTCAATTATGGGTTGACTTGAAGTATATGAAGAACAAAAGCTCTTTTGTTTATTTGTTCAACAGGTACCTCATGAATACCAAATAGGCCCAGGAAGTGTTTCTCTTCGATCTAGATATTGACTTAAGATCAACTTTCTATTGTCGACTGCATTCAATGCATCAACGATGAATGCAGTCATACATTTCAAATTTTAAAATTGAATTAAAAAAGTTTTATTCCGAGACTCGGTAAAAAAATCATTAATTTTAATTCGTAATTATCAAACCATAATTATTTCCTATAAAAATATGTTTAATTGAAATAATTCAACAGAAAAGAATGAACCGGTTCACTGAAAACTGAAGGCCCAAATTAAAATATATTTAAATATAAAAGCACAAAGTGTACATCTTGTAGTATTAAAAAATATTAAAAATTAAATAAATTATTACTTATGCTGAGAGCTAACATAAGAAAAATGTATACCGATAAAATTATATAAACATTGTTGGAGTGAAATACCTTCGGGTAACAAACTGACATATTATAATCGTATATTGTATGTAATAATGGTTCTTATATATCGAAATATATCTTTTTTGCCTGTCTGTCGAAATAAATTATTCCTACAATTCTGATATATGCTCTCCAATAATATATTAAACATTATATCTAGACTAATTAATTCTATATCAAATTTAATGCTAGTTTTGAATCTTGTGCTTGCATTCATTACATTTAAAATTTATACAGAAGATTTTATTCTTACTTCAGATTATAAAAATATTTATAATCATTAGTAAGAATTATTTGACAAAAATATAATAAATCATTGGGAAATGTTTTACATTATTTTATTTTAAATTTAACATTAGAAATGTTCATCTGATTCACTCGCAATTTAAAAGTAAAAGCCAGAGCAACAAATTAACGTTTTCCTGTAGAAAAGCGGAACAATCAAGCTTCACAGAGTCAAGTTATTTCTGAACAATTTTTAATATGTATTAAAAAAATATTTTATACATATAACTATTTTAAATTAATAAGAATAATAAGACATAGTGAACCGTTATTGAAATTCACGAGAATCAACCCATAAAGTTGACATTCTCATATGTATAACGATTATATTAGATACTAAACTAATGGTTATGTTGCAAAACAATTTTCACGTGTAAATTTCATATCATGCTACCTGATATCTAGTAAACCAAGGCTGAAAACGAACCCAAGACTAGTTTGTGCTCTGAACCCAGTAGTTTCCAACATTCGCGTACCCCCGTT